ACATTGCCGGTATTGCAGTTCAGAAAATCTCAAAATATCTCCCAAAAAACGTAAAGTTGTGTTAACATCTCTTGAATTTGTTGAAATCCCCCGAATTTGTTCATATTTATTCATATTTAAGAGCGCGGAATCCCCCTAGTAATCTATCTACTACATCTGAATAAAATCCAAAACACACTCCATTTTTATACTAATAAATTCGATTTGAAAAAATGACATTTAAGTCCAAACTGAAAGATCAGTATCATCAACATCAACACCATCACCAACAACAAGAAGAACTATAACGACAACACCACCACCAAAAACATCAACAACAACAAAACCTCCACCAATACCATCAATTTCTGTTGTGTTAACTTCGCCTGAGTTTCAAATGGGAGAAACTGTGAGACTACCATGCAATGCATACGACAACGTTACACACGTAAGAATATTCTATTTAAGGCGATGTATTATGTGGAATCATGGAACATTGTTTTCTATTTTGTTCTATTAGACTCCAGCCACAGTCATCTGGCGTAAGGCGAATGGATCTCTCCCGGATCGATCATACCAAAAGAATGGTGTTCTTACAGTTACAAATGTTCAACTTGCTGACCCTGGTGAATATATTTGTCGAACTGAATCTAAGGGACATTACGAACAAAGTACAACAATTATCGTCAGAGGTAAAATAGGAATATTAACTTCAAATAAAACTCAGGTCTTATCTCATTAGATCATCATTTTCATTCGGTTTATTATTAATTCCACTCAATTATAGACAATCGTTCCGATCAAACTGAAAACCAGTAAGTATCAGCGACTTGGAACAAGACACCAATTTTATTAGGTCAAACTTATTTTGTGCATTGCACTATACACTTTTTAAAACTCTTTACCTCAGAGAACCATGGCAAGTATTTCATGGCGCTATTCGTAGTGGTAAGTAATGGAAATTTGTCCAATTTCATATATTTTCTTCAATAAGCACATTTAAAAGCGACTATTTTTTCACCGACAGGAAATCTGGAAGCAATTGAAGAACAACTAGGAAACGGAACGGATGTGAATATCAGAGACCGCAATGGTCGGACACCTTTATTTACTGCAGCTCGAAATGGTGCGTTCATTTTTTATTTATTTCTTTTATTTATTACCAATCCTAAATGTATACCATTGTGTGAGTCTAGTGAACTAGACACATGCTGGCTATGTGCCCAATAAGGTATAAATTCCGCCCATGGTGCGACTTTCAAAAAGAGATACAATATAGGGGAGGGTACGAGTTACTATAAATACCGATATTGGAAAACCGGAAAACCATGGCAAAACCGGTCTAATTCAGGAGAATTAGAGGAA